ATCTAGCCATTAAAAATAATGATCATTCAGACTTGGTAGCAACATGAATAAAAAGGCTTATGATAGTGTGAAGTTTTATTACAGCAGGGCAAATAATACTACATATAATTGTAATTACTTAAATCTATAGAAATAGTGGGAAGATTGGCAGGAAATACATCAAAGTGCTAATAAAGGATGTGTCAGGTGGTACATGCTTCCCCCAGCCTCCCTTTTCTATATTTTAAAAAGTTTTATATGGGTAAAACTTTTATAATAAAAAATTGTTTCTACTATTTAAAAATGTTTAAAACAAAGCAGATTCCTTCCTGGCCATAGAGGTTTTGTCACATGGCTTCATGTCCCTAGTAGACACTGAGGGAAATTTATACTGAAGAGTTGTTGGTTTTTCATTTATTTTTTTAACACTTTATGTCATTTATTAATGCAGTATACATTAGATCTAAAATCTGCAGTTTCTAAGCACACCATTTTTAGATCTTTCAGATCCTTCTGCAGTTTTAGGTTATTTCTACAGAGGTACCTTTAAATGAATGAATAACACATTCTATAACTCCTGAAAATATAGTACAGAGTGAAATGACTTAAATATAATTTAGGCACATATTGATTATGAAAATAGATTATCTCTCAATACAATACTTCTCTGTCTTGGTAAAAATAAGAAAAATAAAATAATTCATTTCTGAAGTTGCTTTCCTTCATTTGTAAGGGTCTGATCTCCTCCCACTATGCACATGTACCCTTTACTGTTAAGGAAAGCTTTGCATATGTAGATATAGAAGAATGAGTTACGTAAATACTAAAGATATGTCAGTCTCCCAAAGGAGACACAGGTGGTTTTCAATGATTCCTTACCTCATGTTGATGAGTCTGTAGAATTCAGAACCCATTTGGACACAGATAATATCCCTTCTCTTGGGGTAGAAATAAGGACACCAGGTCACTAGTAGGGAGGTACAGGCCCTTCCTCTGCTGCTGCAGAGAGATAATGACTGAAGAAAATTGGGCTAAAATTTGTTTAAAAAAAAAAAAAAAATATATATATACACACACACACACACACATATATGTAAAAGAATCACAGGTGCTGACTGATTGGTATTACATCTTGGAGCAGCCAAATGCCTTTATTTTTACTTTACATATATTTTTTGGTGGCTGTAATCAAATGTGTGTTTAAAATTCCTCATTCCTGGGCTGGGCACAGCGGCTCACACCTGTAATCTCAGCACTTTGGGAGGCCAAGGCGGGCGGATCACGAGGTCAAGAGATCGAGACCATCCTGGCTAACACAGTGAAACCCCGTCTCTACTAAAAATGCACAAAATTAGCTGGGCATGGTGGCGGGCACCTGTAGTCCCAGCTACTCAGGAGGCTGAGGCAGGAGAATGGCGTGAACCCACGAGGCGGAGCTTGCAGTGAGCCAAGATCACACCACTGCACTCCAGCCTGGGCGACAGAGTGAGACTCTGTCTCAAAAAAAAAAAAAAAAAAAAAATTCTCATTCCCCACTGTAGGGTTCTAACTGCAATTATATTACATTGCCTTTTAGCAGACAACTCTACCATATTCATTCATATAAGCTTTGACTGCAGTAGCTCTGGATTTAGTATCTATTTCTAAGCTGGCCCTATGTAAGCTATTTGGTATTTGAATTAAATGAATATTAATGATGCACCTTGGTTTTTCGGTTTTGAAGTATCTTCCTATGCTTGTGATGATTGTGTCAGAAAACTAGGCTAATAGTGTAAATAGAATTGCTTGGTCTGGTGTTGAGTGGAACTTGCCTAGAATGAAATTCTGAGAAATTCTCATTTATAAGTGTTGTAGTGATAGGTAAGTTCTTCCTCCATTCGGAGTTCCACTGTACCTTTGGAATGACAGGGATGCACAACGATGTCTTTCTTTCCACTCTGTGTCAATCAGTAAGAATTGGATATTACTTTAATTTAGCTATTGTTTTCTCCTAAAAAGTAAACATTATGAAAATGAACCTGAAAAGAGTCTTAGGGAATCTGATCTCACCATATTCATAGGTTGTGATAGGTATTTAAAGAGGGGAGGCATCACTAAAGCTATTTATAAACCTGAACAACCTTTTCCCAGTTTTCATAAAGTTTTAACAATTTAAATATCCATACTGCATCTAGGTATTCAATAAATATAATTGCATATGTTGTGCTTTCCATAAATTAAAATCCTCAAATGCATCTCAAACCAAGATGGTATTTCCACATCATGCCTATTTAAAAACAAATATAATAGATGCTATTCCTGGTCATAAAGCCAGGTATACCCCTCTACCCCATTCAAAAGGGAGAAATATCTGTTTTCCTTACATCTATTAAATGAGTGCTTTTTTGTTAAAAATCAGAATATGAAAAAAAAAGTCAGTTTTTCCCTTATGCACCGCTGAGAACAAGCATAATCCTCTAAACATTTTTTTTTAAATTTCCTTACAGTGTTATTTCTTCTAGATAACTGAGTAGGTGGAGAAAGAAAAGTGATAAGGAAAACACTTTCATCTTGTACATTTTCCTCCAGTCCCTAAAATTCTCATCTGACACTTTGTGACATGTGTAGTGGTGTCAGCATCTCTTCAAATATAGCTCCCTTCAGCTTGGACCCTCTCAGGTTGGCTTCTTGAAGATCACACCCAGACAGATCACAGTTCTCTAAATCAGTTCCTGCCAGAGTTGCTCCTCTGAGGTTACAGTTCTTCACTTTGCATTTTTTAATGTAGCCCTCTCAGGTTAATTCCTGTCATCTGACTTCCCTCCATATCCATACCTTTCAGATTAGCACCTTCTAAATTGGCTTTAAGACCGGAAGGATCCTCAAAATTACACAGTTTCAGGGATGCTCCTTCTGCATTAGAACAGAGCATCTTGATTCCCTGGAGATTTGCACAATCTAGCACTGATCCAGAGAAATCAGCTCGTTCAAGATTTGCACAGCAAAGATTTGTATGTGCAAGATTACAGCGGCTTAAATTGGCCATTTTGATGTTAATGTATCGAAGGTCCAAACGAGAAAGATCAGCACCACTGAAGTTCAAACCCTGGCATCGCAGTTCTGACTTGGTTGGAGTTGCTAGCAGAAATCGGACAAATTCCTTTCGGGATATTGGTGAATGATCCTCCAGCGGTTGAGAATTCTTTATTGCCACTTCTAGGTGTTCAATCAATGAGTCAATACCAAAAAATCTTGCTTCTTCTAACACACCCAATAAATTAATGCCATTATTTACAATGAGCTGTCCATGACGCAAGTAGTTCAAAATGGGTTCAAAGTACTCAGGACTTCGGTCAATTGAGAAAGCTCCTCTAGGATCTTACTAATTTCCCTAGACACCTTTGTCCTTAAACATGTGGGCCAGCATACCATCAGGTTCTTTATTCACTAAAGTGCTCCGTGTAGTTGTAAAGTACCACCCTCCAACATTTAATGTCAGCCAGTCTGTGTGGAATCCTAACAATCCTTCAGGAGGCTTAGAATCTGTCTGAGGATCAATAAATGGCTCTCCTTCACAAACAAACAAAACATCATCACCCCTGATCAAAGCAATATCATCAATCAGTCTACCTTTTCCATTATACACACTGGTGGCTTTTATGCCGAGTTTACTGCTGGCCACAGAAAGCAAATCAGATAAAGTTCCATATACAGCAACCATCTTTCTGTTCTTGGGGCTGCCGTTCAGGAACAGGGTCACCCACCTCATTGCGCTGCCCCTGCTGGGTCCTGAGTGAGCCACCACCCTTCCACCTGGTCCTCCTCCCACCTTTTTCTCCTCCTGCCCTTCCCCTCCCTCCACCCACTCGGATTTGCCTCCCTTCACCACCTTCCTGCCCTTGGGGACACACCACACACACGCACTCTGCCCCACACCGAGGCCTCGGCCAGTCCTCCTTCCCACCCCGCCCCGAGGCTCCTCAGCCTGCCTGAGTTTTTCATTTATTGACATCTATTTATTGAATGCTATTTAGGTGCAGACCACTGTTACAGGTAGTGGGGATACAGGATGAACTAGAAAAAAAAAATCTCTACCCTCATCAAATTACATTCCAATGGGGGAACAGAGCTTAACACCCAAATAACAAACAAAAAAATACCAGACACTGATAACGAATGTAATCAATACAGTCAGCCCTCCATACCCAGAGACTCCACATCTGTGGATTCAACCAAACTCTTGAGTCAAAAATATTGTGGGAAAAAAATGCCACAAAGTTCTGCAAAGCAAAACCTGAATGTGCTGAGTACTAAGACAAATCCATGGGAATGAAGTATGTGTAGGCATTGTATTAAGTATTATAAAATAATCTAGAGATTATTTAAAAGATATGGGAGGACATGTGTAGGTTAAAAGCAAATATATGCATTTTATACAAGAGACTTCAGCATACTTGGATTCTGGTATTTAGAGGGGTCCTCTAACCAATGCCCTGTGAATACTGAGGGATGACTGTGCTGGCATTTTTATGTTGGGAGATCAGGAAAGGCTCAAAGGACATGAGATTTGAGTTGACATCCGAATGGCAAGACCAGTCTTGGGAAGATTAGGGAAGATAGGTGAGAGAACTAATGCTAAGATGCTGAGCAGATACAACTGTGCTCAGTTTGAGGAACTGAAAGAGACCATTGTGTCTGGCAAGTGCTGGGTTAGGAAGAGAGTGGTATGAGGAGACATTGCCCTTCCTTCAGGAACTTGCAGGAAAACAGCTCAGTCATCACACAGACAGCTTCTGACACCTCTCTTCTTTTGGAAGAAACCACAGAGGGCTTCAAATTTACAACAGTCTACAGAGCAGAAAAAGCAGGACATTTTGTTTAAAAAGTCTCCTTTTTTCTCCTCTAGGCTACAGTATCCTTATCTGTAATCAAAGGGATGGAATGGCCATATTAACCTCACAGAGGAAGCAGATATTAATGCATATTCCATAGAACCAGCCCATGCCAAGAAATCCAAGTTGTTCTCCAAAATCAAGGCTTACTTATCCTTCCCAAACTCGAATTTCCCAGGTCCAATTCGCAGAAGAGAGCCATTGAGCCACTTAGGAAAATGTCCCCAGACTCGAGCAGAGATGCCCCGTGGAGCCTCTTCCACTGTGGTCAGTAGCGGTGCAACACATGGCAGACCCCGACACTGCCCAAAGATGGCTTTTTTCTGATGAGTATTTCCCATGTGCCTTTTGAAAACTGTGCAGAGGAAACCAAAAGAACAAAAAATATTTTATCAAATATTCTATAAACTTGCCTGCTTCCCACAGACAATAATCTTATCAACCGGCAGCTTGAGGGAAACGTGAACCTAACACCAAATACGGTCTCCAAATTTCTTCTCTCTCCTTCCTCATTCTCAGACTATCAACGCTTTGGTTCTCCATTTTCAACCCACAACAATTCTATTTCTTGTAGTACTAATCTGCCTAAGAACGAACTTAGGACTTCAGTTACTATTTTTATCATTTCTCATAGTTGAACAATGCCTGTCTTTTTACAAGAATAAATTTACATGCCAACCCCAGATGTGCTAAGAGCAACCGCTTTGTTATAAAAATGACCACCATTCAATATTATCCAATTACATTGACCCCAGTAATTTAGATACACCAGAATCTGATTCCAAAGATTTCACAGCAATTCTTGTGATTTTAATACGATCTTAAATGTAATTCCTTTTATTTGAATGGCATATACATGAAAATGCAAGGCATTTTCCAGTAGAAGGGTGTCAAAAATTAAATTATGCAGTGATATCCAGTCTGAAATTACCTAAAGAGCAAAAGGCATAAGAAGTAAAAATCATTACTGTATAATAAGGAACTGAAACCGTTCCCTATTATTTTAACATTACTGAGTATTCACAAGGCAGTACCAGTACTGCCTAACATAGAGGGGTGGTCAAATAAATAATTAAGTGCTATAAAATAGAATTATTTATCTCATAAAAGTTTAAGAGTGATTCAGAAATCCAGACTAGAAAAATGAGCTAACACATAGGGACACTATTACTCTTAAGAAATGAGATTTGCATTCTTTTAGCAAGTTATTACTATCCATTTCTTTCAAATCTTTCAAAAATTCAGCTTGAAGCACATGAGACATTCTACTCCCCTATATGACAGGTAACAATTGAGGCAAACCTAATTCTTTCTTGATTTTTCAAATAAAATTCTCTTTCACCCTGAATGTCCTTCCCAATGTCCTTATCTCTAGTTCTAAGAAAATTCCAGCAGGGCACGGTGGCTCACACCTGTAATCCCAGCACTTTGGAAGGCCAAGGCAGGTGGATCACCTGAGGTCAGGAGTTCAAGGCCAGTCTGGCCAACATAATGAACCATAATGAAAGCCCGTCTCTACTAAAAGTACAAAAAAAATTAGCCGGATGTTGTGGCTGACCCCTGTAATCCCAGCTACTCAGGAGCTGAGGTAGAAGAATCACTTGAACCCGGGAGACAGAGGTTGCAGTGAGCCGAGATCGCACCAACACTCTCCAGCCTGGGCAACAAGAGCAAAACTTTGTCTCAAAAAGAAAAAGAAAAAAAAATTTCATTAATTGGTCAAGGTCTATCTCCACTGTTACAGTACTTCCCTTAAGAGGCAGCACAGTGTAGGCTGGGCACAGTGGCTCACAACTGTAATCCCAGCACTTTGGGAGGCCGAGGCAGGTGGATCACGAGATCAGGAATTCAAGACAAGCCTGGCCAAGATGGTGAAACCTCGTCTCTACTAAAAACACACACACACACAAAATCAGTGGCAGCTGCCTGTAATCCCAGCTACTCAGGAGACTGAAGCAGGAGAATCGCTTGAACTCGGAGGACAGAGGTTTCAGTGAGCCGAGATCACGCCACTGCACGCCAGCCCAGGTGACAGAGTGAGAATCCATCTCAAAAAAAAAAAAAAAAAAAAAGGGCAGCACAGTGTAATATTTAAGGGTGTGAGCTGGAGCTCTACCTGGCTCCAGCTGGTTGGTTTCAAATGTGCCCCCTCCCAAATAAGGAGCCTTGAGAAAGACACTTATCACCTCTCTGTGGTCTGTTTCCTGTTTTCTAAGATGGGGATAATGATAATTCATATTACTTCTAAGGCTATAAGTAATAAATGAGTTAGTTTATGTAAAGCTTTTAGAACAGAATACTCAAAAAATGCTATTATTATATTTACATAGCTTTTAATGATAGTCCAATAAGGTGTAATATCTTCTTTATTTTATTCATTTGACAAAGTACTTGGTACTGCTGAGGGATAAAAAGCATTAGAACCCTGAAATAAAAGAACTGACTGCCTAGTAAACAGATCACTGACACTGTAAGTGTTTTATTTCCACGTTGTTTCTCAGAGTCTGGTACAGGACTACTTGCAACAGAAATACCTGGTGTTACTGCTAAAATGCAGTTTCCTGGACTCCATTCTGGTCCTAATAAATCAGAATCGCTTGGGAAGGGCAAGCAGGTGTTCTTAGGCATACTTAAATTTGGGAAGTACAGTATAAGAAGTACAAAGAGGATGCTTTGAAAAGATAGAGAAGGAAAAACTCTCAGTTATTCATCTTACTCTATTTTTATTAACATTATGCATATTTATCTTATTCTCAGATTAAAATAAATTCCCTAAGGTCAGGTATGTAATTTACTCATCTTACTTTTTTAAGTAAATTGAATGGCCTAATTGGGCATTTGTCTAAGTAGAGATACACGAATTTAAGCATTTCACATTGTAGAAAATATTTACATGTCTATATGTTGTATACTCCATAGCATGCTGTTGGTAATCTGCTACATGATCTTCAAAGTTTCAATAGAATTTGATGTTAACAACTTTCTTAAACTCCTTTCTATTCGTAGCTTCTGAGACATTGTCCTATTCTAACTTTCCTGCTGTACTATAACTACTCTCTGCATTCTGCTAGTTTTATTACTAATTAGCTGACAACCTTGAGCAAGTTACTTAATGTCTCTGAGCCTCAGGTTTTTCAATGATAAAATGGAAATAAAAGGAGATTAATACTTCCTGTTTATGTCTATCATCATAATCAAATATAAAGATACTGGATGCTTTCCAAATGTTAATTCCCTTTAGGGGCTCCTTGTCTCCCTTATCACTTCATGAATGTTCCTAAGGTCCTACCTTGGATCTTTAATCTCAGCACTCTCCCTCGGCAATCTCATCTAGTCTCTTAATTTCACCAATTACTTCTGGCAGGTGACCTTCAACATGTCAAAACAGAATTTTTAATTTCCCCCATTCCAAATCAATTTTCTTCATCTAGGATATTTCCCAACTCCTTCAGATGACATTCACTCACCTAACTCATCCTTCAAGATCCAGTTTCCATGTCATTTGCTTTATAAACACAGCATTCGCCTTACCTACAGCAAGAACTGATTCTCCTTAGTCTGAACTCACAGCATCTGTTTATAGCTCTCATATGGACCTTATCTTATCTGTCTTGTATGATAAATGATACTACCAGTACTCCTTGAGTACAGGGTCTGGTGTTTGTCTCCCCTCTCCTTACAGTACGTAATACATTCCCTTGCATACTGCAAACATTAAATTATTACATTAAGTAATTTTACAATTTATAGTGCATATTAGTATGATTTCTGAAAGTTCTAGATCAGCCAATTTCTATAAATAAAATCATGTAACAATGGTAGCCATAATAGAAGGCTATAAAACAATAAATGAGTTTTAAGGCAGTCCCCGCAAAATGCAAATAGAGAAACCAAACAATTACATTAGAACGTGTGGCAGCGATTTTTCAATTTAGAAAAGCCTAAATATTGAATATTCTTCTTATTGCAAATCCCAAAGAATCCCAAGCCCCTGAATCCTGCCCTAAATATTGCATAAAATATGCAAATGTGAAGGCTGTTTCCCTGACCATGAGGAAACAATCCTAACTCAGCCTTCTTTAACTTCCGGGACTCTGCGGAATTGCTGTCTAATCTGAGGCACACAGGACGGAAAGCTTCAGAAGCTCCCAACAGTCTTCAGGAAAGTGGCACAGAATTCTAAGTGCAGATTGGCAAGAAGAGGAGGATAAGGAAGAGAAAGGGGCAAACCCCCTACCTGGGAGCGGGTAGACCATCACAGGAAGGAAATCCACTGCAGTGGCAGAAAGACTCCTGATAAAATGGAGAAAGACTCGAAAAAACATTTTCGTATTGAGCAGATCCCGTGATTTCCAAACCCTCTCACACTGGCAGCTTTGAGTACTACTAAACAATGAACACGCACAGAACTGCCTGGACTGTCCCTCCCTTACTGACAGGTCGAAGTGAGGAGGAGGCTTAAGGGGCGGGGCTTATTTCCATGACAACTGTCCAAACAATCTATCTTTAATAAGCAGCTGTTTGAAATATTAAAATTAGACCACCAGTAGTAGTCTCCCCCTCCCTAAACTTTTCTTTTTCAAACCTGTTCACACACTATAGTTAAGTCCGTTTATCTTGATGCACAGCATGAATTTTATTATGCCACTCTTCTCTTCTGGAAGATTCCGACACAGAATAAAGTCCAAATTTAGACTACCACTAGAGGACTCTACAATCTGGCAACAATTTACCTTTCATTCTTTTTCTCTGCCTTTAAATCACTTCATCCTTCCTTTTCTTTTCTATTCATTAATTTTACAGAACATTTTCTGACAATCTAGCATGAGTGAAAGTACGCCCTCAAAATGTATATGACTTTATTAATTTACATTTTTAGCACCAATGTATCAAATACTGCACTACAAAGAAAGAATACCAAGAAACAAGATTGTCCCTGCTCTCCAGGAGTTTAGACCATACACTATTCCCCTTCATGAATTTTCATCCTAGCAAAGTGACTAACATACCATGATACGTTTGTTCTTCTGTGCCACTGAAGAAACTTTTCTCCTGCCTGAAATATCCCCTTTCCTTTTCAAAAATCCAATTTAAAATCTACCTCTCTGACTCCCTTACTAAAAGGTCTTCTAGTAACTTCCACAGCACTGCCACAGAGTTGCTTTTAACATTAACATATCATGTTTTCCTGGCAAAATTGTAAGTATATTTCAAGAAAGAAGTGGTTAAAATTGTCAGTAGGGAGTGTCTTCATACACCTAGCAGAGTACAAAGATGGTTTGGTATATATTTTGATTAGTAATCAATGAAAAATAACTTACAAATTTGTGAGACTTTATTGAAATAGTAAAGAGTAACATCAGAAGTGTAAATTAAAGGGCAGTGGTATTCCTGCAATAGCATTTCTCCAGTTGTGAGAATTTTTTTTTTTTTTTTTTTTTCCCCTGAGACAAAGTCTCACTCTGTCACCCAGGCTGGAGTACAGTGGCACAATCTCGGTTCACTGCAACCTCCGCCTCCCGGGTTCAAGTGATTCTCCTATCTCAGCCTCCTGAGTAGCTGGGACTACAGGTGTACGCCACGATACCTGGCTACTTTTTTTTATTTTTAGTAGAGATAGGGTTTTGCCATGTTGCCCAGGCTGGTCTCAAACTCTTGACCTCAAGTGATCTGCCTGACTCAGCCTCTCAAACTGCTGGGATTACAGGTGTGAGCCACCATGCCTGGCCAAGATAATGACTCTTGTCTATGTGGATGGTACCAAAACCATCCAAATTTGATTTTAAAAATAAGCCTTCATGATTAAGCTTTAGGCACCTTTATACTAGAAGGAATAACAATTCTGAACAGTAAACACATCGTGACTTAAAATCAGTTCTCCAGTCTTAATCATATCAAATGAAATAATCAAATCCATTTTCTGAACCTTCAAAGGGAAGAACTAGATGTTGAACAATGGTGATACCATCAGGATATAACAAGTATATTATGAAATCTAGTCTGAAACAATCTGTTGGCCTTATTTTTCATATTAGTAATAAATGCTTAGAAAAAGAACATTTCTTAATGATGGTAGGTCAAAATCCAGACGACAAGTCATATTAACTCACAAACCTTCTGGTTGTATTTAGTTTTTAAAAATTTCCTTTTGGCCAGGCGCAGTGGCTCATGCCTGTAATCTCAGTATTTCAGGAGGCTGAGGTGGGTGGGTCACCTGAGGTCAGGAGTTCAAGACCAGCCTGGCCAACACGGCAAAACCCCATCTCTACTAAAAATACAAAAATTAGCCAGGTGTGGTGGCAGAAGCCTGTAATCCCAGCTACTGAAGAGGCTGAGGCAGGACAATCACTTGAACCTGAGAGGCAGAGGTTGTAGTGAGCCGAGATCACGCCACTGCACTTCAACCTAGGCAACAGAGCAAGATTCTGTCTCAAAAAAAAAAAAAAAAAAAAAAAAAAGAAAGAAAGAAAAAGAAAAAAGAAAGAAAGAAAGAAAAAACTGAAAAACTTTCCTTTTTTTCCTTCTTTTTTTAGAGACAGAGTCTCACTCTGTCACCCAGGTTAGAGTGCAGTGATGCAATCATAGCTTGCAGCAGCTTCAGACTCCTGGCTCAAGTCATCCTCCCACTACAGTCTCTCAAATAGCTAGGATTAGAAATGGGAGCCACTACGTGTGACAAAAAAAAAAAAAAATCATTTCTAATAATTACTTTGTTGACCTCCAACCTATTCTGTGCCACCACCTCTATCAACCCAATAGTTTTTTCCAGTTAACCAATTTTCTTTAGCAAATATTATTTTATTTCACTTTTGTCATCTTTTCTTATATGAGTATTCATATCATGTGGTGTTTATGCCTTAAAATAGTAATGTAATGAAATGAGATTTTATTTTAGAGTTTAGAAGGCAGCAAGGCAAATGTGTAGTCTCCCTTAGGAATAACAATTCCCTGTAGTACTATTTGCAATTTTTGGATTGCTTATATTGGAAAAATATACATGTAATAAACTGAACTGTCTATATGATTGAAAAATGGGTGCTATTGTGTTTAAAAATCTGGTTAACACAGCTATCCCGTATAATAATATATAATACAGAAAGTTTTCAATAAAATCATAGTAGTACTTTACATCAAAGGGATAATTTTTTTTAGCTAGATGAGTAGTATAGATCCTCCAGTCCAAATTCAATTTCTCAATTATAATAGGATTGAAGTGACCTCCCAAGGTCATCTTGTTGTTTAAGCCAATGTATTTACTTCTGGATCACTAATCTTTATCCCATACCACACTGCTGATAATGTTTCTAAATATAATTCATTAACTGCATATGTCGATGTAGTTGATGTGTAAAAAAGTCAACTCATACAAGGTTTTGGTGAGTAATTTCTGGTTTTTATTTTACTATTTTTACCACAAGAAAATAATTTTAAGCCAAGAGCTTCTATTAGTCATACATAATAACTAATAGTGAAAATAATCAAATGGAAATAGCACACGGTTATGTCATTCTATTCTAAGAAACCGGAAAAATCACCTCTAAGGTTTTAATCTTTTATAATCTTGACCACAAAAAAATTTTTCAAAATTATCTCCAAAACTATCTGATATTTAAACAAAATATTCTAAAAGAAAAAGTATGATGTTATTAAACATTACAAATTAACTGAATCCTGTTTTCGAAGTTTAAGAAACAAATAAAATAATCCACATAAGATTTAAATAATTTACACTTCTATAAAATGCACTAAATATTTGACCCTCAAAAGAAAAGTGACGTAGTTCATGTTAATGTCCAGTTTAGGACATTAATACGAACATTAATACTAACATTAAGGAATTTTAAAGTTCCCTTTTAAATCTAGAAATTCAAGGAGTTTCCCCTTCTCTATTCAAAATATACATTTTCTTTAACAACTCAACAGCTTTCAAAGCATAAATGTCATTCTTTCATTATAACAATAATAGATTTAAATTATCAGCTTATTTCAAGTATATATTTTATCTGTGTAATGTGTTTGCAATCACTGTAAACCTCTGTCGCAGGAACTCTCTTTTTTGTATTAGAAAGTTTTCAATAGTATTGGCTTCTTTGAAGAGTTCATCTATCTCATCAATGTAAGATGCATCTACTGCTGCTCTCTCACTAATAAGAAAAAAAGTTGTATATTAAACTAAGTAGATATAAACAACATCATTATGTTGTTCTTCATTACATTTGTTAACTATTTCGTTTAAATGGCTTTATGTGCCACAGAACTTCATTAATTTACTAATACTCTTCAGAAAAAAAATTAGTCCCACAAATATTTTTGACTACTCAAAAAGGTCTCCTGACAAAACAGGAAGTGTATCTAATATATTATCAACACTAATATTCAATTATATACATTATTTTTACAGCCACACAAACCACTATCCAAGTATAATGACTGTCCAACAATGTAAAAAAACATACACACACTTTATAAAACATGATATCAGGCTAATAAAATATTTAAATTTGGTCTTAAAATAAATATAGGTAAAATATAAACGCAGTCATCCCTCAGTATCCATGGGGTATTGGTTCCAGAATCCCCCACAGATACCAAAGGAACATCCCTCATAGATATTCAAGTTCCTTATATAAAACATCATACTATTTGCATATAACCTAAGAACATTCTGCCATATACTTTAAATTATCTCTTGATTACTTATAAGACCAATACCATGTAAATGCAATGTAAACAGTTGTTATACTGTATTGTTTGAAAAATCATGACAAGAAAAAAATGTCTGTACATGTTCAGTACAGACACAACCATCCTTTTTTTCCCAAATATTTTCTATGTGTGGTTGATTGAATCCACAGATTCAGAATTAATGGATGTGAAAGGCTGACTTTCTATGACATAAAAGTATTTATCTTTAATATCACTCTGTTATCATTAATTTCACCAAACATTTTTCTCAAAGAGGTATTTACATAAAATTTAAAATGTAATGTCATCTAATTACAGACCAAGATATACACAGTCTAGTATTAGCATGGCAAGAGTTAAAAAAAAAAAAAAAAGAATTTTTAGTGGAAAAGTTGACGCTATTCTCTGAAAATAACCAACTAATCTACTTTAAGAGACTGAAGTAGAATAAAAAATTCCAACATTTTAATTACTGGAGAGGTTTGCTAGCCACAGAGTTAAACTTCCCATTACAGAGTTTCCAGAAGAAAACTAACATAAAGACCCCAGAGAATATACTATAAGTACTTGCCTTAAAAGCTTTGCATAGGTAGACAACATTAGATTAATTTCCTTGCTCACATCTGTTCAAGAAAAATCATGTAAGTTATAAAATATAACAAACCTTCTGCATTATAAAACTGATGTTTAGAAATATAAACATTTTATACATCACCATTTAAATCTTTCTCCAAGGCTTCATCTTTATAAAACAGTCCAGAACTTTCAGAGAAAGATGAATCTGATTTTCCAAGAGAGGACGGCTGTGGACTATCTGGCACTGGAGACTAACAGGACAAAATAAAGAAAACAGGTACAGTCAATAAGATCTTCAGGACATAACACCGAATTTATTAAGTATATGTTTATTTGTTTATTAAGAAAAAGCAAATAAACAATTTTTCAGAAAAAGGCAAACATGCTAGAAAGCATATGACTTAGTCATTTGAGTTATTATTATTAAGGAAATTTGCAGGCCCAAGAAACACCTTGCTCAATATATTAAATTTTATTTTGGTTTTCAACTAGACTTTGCTTTTCATTTGTTTGTTTTTGTGACAAGTTCTCGCTCTGTCACCTATACCAGAGTGTAGTGACACAATCTTGGCTCCCTGTAGCCTCCTGGATTCAAGTGGTCCTCCTGTCTCAGACTCCTGAGTAACTAGGACTACAGGCACATTCCACCATGCCCAATTAATTTTGTTTTGTTTTGTTTTCAGAGACAAGGTATTGCAGTGTTGCCCAGGCTGATCTGAAACTCTTAGCCTCAAACGATACTCCTGCCTCAGCCTCCCAAAGCACTAGGATTATAGCCATGAGCCCATGCGCCCAGCCTTAAATTAGATTTTAAATGTGGTTTTAAACTCCGGTTGAAAAAGCGTCTGGTATCTTGAACCAGTAGATGTTTTCATAGCAATGAAGCTAAACTGTAATTTAGACAGTAGCCAAATGCTTGCGAAATTTTGCAAAATAATACAATCTTCAATGGAGCAAATCATGTCCCAAATGCAACAGATCAATTGGTGGGGGCAGGACTGGTAAAGGATAGGATACTGTGCTCTTTAAAAAGACCAGTAACTATAGTACCTAGGTATCTTACTTATCACAGCAAAATAATTACATAAAATCCTATGTATCATAGAGGCACAGACTCACTTCTGTCTCTACATCTCAAGCTATCAAAAAGAAATCTCCCAGTAGTTTCTTGGAGGCCTATACTTAGTGAAAAACCAGCTGGAATCAACATAGTTCCTGCTATGTTGTAGGACAATCCTAGCTCTGAGCATACAAATACATTAAATTCCACTTATCTATAGAGCTTTCTTAAAGGGAAGAAATTTGAGAAGTATGTAAAACAGAATAAAAGATTAAGGCTATCCAGGCATAGAGCTTACCTCCAATTCTCTTGGCCTCTTGCAATTTCTATTGTCAGGCTTTACAAGGTGATTTGCCATCATACTCCGAAGGCACCAGCTACAAAGCTTAGAACAATGCCAGATTTAGGTACAAACTCCATGCTACAAGATCTCTGGAATCCTTCCCTTTTTCCCACGCCTACTGCTGATGTTAATTTAGACTGTCATTATCTGTCACTTTCCTAAACTCAATTTCTCCCTCCTCCAAATCATTCTATCAACTGCTATTTGGGTAATCTTTCAAAACTTTGATTACTGCATTCTTTTAACTCAAAAACTTTCATTGTTCCAGAACAAGTTGAAATTCCATGCTATGGCCTTCAAGGTCCTGTATTATCTGGTGCCAGCCTACTAGTCCCATCATTTTCAACTACTCCCCTCTATGTACTTAGCCAAATGAGTCTTTCTGGCAATTCTGCCTTGTTTCAGGACTTGCTCAGTTAAGATTCTTCTATGTTCGGCCCCGCACAGTGGCTCATGCCTGTAATCCCAACACTTTGGGAGGCTGTGGGAAAATCACCTGAGGTTGGGAGTTCGAGACCAGCCTGGCCAGCATGGTGAAACCCCATGTCTACTAAAAATTCAAACATTAGCCAGGCATGGTGGCAGGTGCCTGTAGTCCCAGCTACTTGGGAAGCTGAGGGGAGAGAATTGCTTGAACCCGGGAGAGGGAGGTTGCAGTGAGCCAAGATTGCGCCACTGCACTCCAGCCTGGGCAACAGAGCAAGACTCCACCTCAAAAAGAAAAAAGATTCTTCTATCTTCACAAAATCTTAATGTTGAAACAGGTCTTACAGTTCATCTAATACAATCTCATTTTTTACAAGTGAGAAAACAGGGACAGTGATGGTGGATCAAGTGACACCAGTAAGACTGAATTGGACTAGAATCGAGATCTCACTCAAGTCTGAGATTATTCCCACTGTCAAATCTTACTTTAAAGTAGCTTCAAATTTTACTTTTACTTTTCCATAAATTCGGAAGGCATTTTCCCTAGAAGTCCAAATGTTGAAACCTGGAAGGGTATAGTCTCTGTCTTTGAGATAAGGGGAGCCCTATCCACTTTCAAGTTATCAACAGACGTTGTTTTTGAGAAACGATGCTGACTTGGGTAACTGTAATGCATCTGTTTGATTAGTCCTATAAAATATGCATATATAGAAGACAGATAGAGCAACAACAAATTAGAAAGATGCTTGTTAAGTAAATTCTGTATTGTACGTCTCCATTCCTGCCAGTACCCTTACAGTATACAAGTTTATGTGCTGTAATAATATTAATAGTATCTAGAAAATACTACACATGCACGGCAGTGCTAACTTTGCCCTGGGAGTTGGAAAATACTTAAGCCAACAGGCGGATTTTTCTCTCCTCCCTTCCACTTCTAATCCCTTTCCCCTTCACCCCCTTCTCTTCTCTCCCAAAGTAACACTGCGCACCTACATCAAATGAAAACTTATAATCAAGTAACTGTTTCTGCAAAAATAAGTTCGTTTTTCCGTCATAGCTCAAGGCCTCAGCAGATCCAGGCCTGGTGGACTGTTTGGTCTTCGTCGTGTGCCAAACACTGGCCACTGCCCCCGGCTCTGCCATCTTAGGCTTAGTGACCTGGCTGTTACTAAGCACTGTCACCCTCTGCCTCATGCAGCTGTGTCTTTCTAGTCTTCTCCCTCTTCTCAACGCCAACCTGGCCCCTCACTCCATTTCACCTCCATATTCCTCACTTCCCGCCGCCCCTCCCCACTTCCTCCGTACTGTTGCTTCCGCCCCACTAGAGCCCCTCAGAGGAAGCTTCCATCCTCGCGCCCTTCCTCGTGTCACACACACTCCGTCACATTCTCACAGGCGCCCATCCCTCCAGCCCCACCCCAAGGCCAATGTACTTCGCGGTATGGGCACCTTCCTCGCGAACGTGAGGGACTGAGGACGCTGGGCGCGGGTTGCTCAGACTTCGTGGGTGGAGGTGGGAAGCGCGCCGCACTCCCAGCAGCCCCCGCGCGAGTCACGTGACAGCCCCCCCCCCCCAGCCCACTTCCCCACGGCAGCCTCCCAGAGCCTGGCCCCACGGAAGGCCAGCTTTTTTCCGGTTTTCTCCCACCCTTTCCCCTCAACTTGGAATAGTCGTGAAACAAAAATCTCTCCCTGCCACCCTGTCTGTATTTCAATCAGGAAAAAATCGGAAACTGGTCAAGTAAGAACAAGGAAGACTTGCCAAAGCAAGGCCGGGGTGTGTCCCAGCGGCTTAGAATCTCAGCAAAGGAACACAAAATCCACGGCCTCTTTTCGAGTAAAATTTACTTGGTTTGTTTGCAGATGCTCTGTTTGCAGGAAGGTTTTAATCATGTGTTCCCCTGGCCCACAAGCAAGGTTTTTAGATCCAGAGCCTCAGTTACTGCCCCTCTTCCTTTTTGGTGCAACCCAACTTTCAGAACCTCACCTTCTTAGAAAATTCTTCCCCGGGTCTGTCAATAAGTTTAGTCAATGTAATTGGCAGCAGCTATCAAAAACTATTGCATGACACACATGGCTCACAAAATTGTAGCTTTGCCTCATCAGGTTCCTTAACGTGGAGGCTTTGACCTGCAATTTCAAAGATACACATTCCAAGCTTATGCCTAGTTAGTGGATGTGGAAGTAAAAAACAAAGCAAATTACCTCATAACACAAAGGTCAGTAACACCCATAAGCTCCAGGTACAAAATCTTATATCTTAGAGAACTATAACACTTCCATACATTACTAATGGTTTTTTTTTTTTCCATTTTGCTTAATTAAATGTTAGTTATCATCAAGCCTTGGAAGTATTCTGTGTGTGTATATTTATTTGCTGTTCATGAAGAAGCCAATTGTTTTAAATAAGTTCCTAGAAAATAAGCGCTCAATGTGTTTAATCTGAGTTGCTAATATTGTGAAATATAGGCCATGTAACTAAATACTAGCTTAGATAACTATGGCGAAGTAAGGAGTCTCAAACACTGTCCCAGAACAATAGCAATCTGTGTTGAATTTTTACCCTCTGTGGTAAAATGAAGGGAAAAGGAATGAAGTTTTAGTTTTCCTTAATTTTTATCTTTATTGTTTCAGACTCTTGAGCAGTATAAAGTTTTCATCAAGTCAAATATATTCACTGTAAAGGACTGTCCTTTATTCTGATACCATGTCCTTCCTAATTTTGGGGGCACAGGTGAGATAAGTTTTATGAAACAAAAAGTTTAAAAATTCTTACATTTTTAGGGTCCTTACTTGGTAAAATGTAGAGTTGTCCACCATGTTTATCTCTTCCTCCTTATTATCATGATTGCTGTTATTATTTTTAATTGTTCATTAAATCCAAGGGTCTGGGAAATACTCATGTAATTCATCTCACAGCCTTCACATTGTATGATATCCAAACAGGTGGCTGTCCATCCTATTCTTAAAATATTTCCAGGAAAAATGATTCCACCTAATGCGTAAATGCTTTCATCAGATTAAGAGAACACCATGGACATTTTATTTTAGTTTTTAAATCTTACCTCCATTGTATAAGATAAATGTGTAGGAATAAGTGAGATTATATAGATATCTAGAGCTTTAAAATATTCAAAGTGCTGTCATCATTATCTCATTTAATCTTTGAAAACAACTCTATGAAGTACAAAGAACACTGAGACATTTGGATTGCTCTATATCAAAGAAAAAAGTGTTTGTCCCAAAACTTCAAAATGTGTAAATTGTACATTCTGCATCTTTACAGCTGGAGAAAATTCACTGGCAATGGAATATTTAAAATTAGAGCTTGCTTAGTGCTCTGCTTCTGATCACTACTTGATCCCACTTCGTGCTTTCATGTTAATTGGCCCAATTGGACTCTACAGTTGGAAGGTGAAAACTTACTATTTCAACTTGAATCATGTATGTATTCTTATTATATATTTCTTAAATGTACTATTTTTTTTTCTTTTGATAGTCACCACACCAAGAATTTCCAGTCACCCTGCCACAGACTTCCTTTGTAATTGCTGCTGAAGGACATGATGTTGTTATGACTTCCCGAAATGAAAACCCTATCTTGTTTTTAAAACAAACAAGTCAACAAAAAGTAGTGTTTATGTAAGCATTTTGTTCCCTGACTCTGGGAACCCCTCTGTTTTTATACCATCTCTGTACTGGCAAAACACAAAAACAAAACACCACCTTGCTAATTCCCTTCCTAGCAAAGTGATACAGTTTAGCACATGTTCAAGAAAAAAATGGCTAAGAAATTTTGTTTCCACTAATTATTTTCAAGACTGTGATATTTACACTCTGCTCTTTAAAAGTTACATTTTGTAAGACTATTTTTTAACAAGTTGAACATAAGCCCTAAAAATATGTATCCTTAAATTGTATTTCGAATATTTTAAGTCAGTGTTTGCTATCATTCCAGGAATAGAAAGTTTTAACACTAGAAACTGCAGGTTTGCCCTCTCATCTGAATTTTGGTATCCCTCTCCCCAAGCTTACTTTCTGTTGCAGAAAATTTTAAAATTATTAAATAAAATTCTAATGATGGCATCCATGTGGCTTGCATCTGATACAGCAGATAAAGAAGTTTTATGAAAATGGACTCCTTTTCCACTGAAAAGTAAATCTTAATGGCCTGTATCAACTATCTTTTGACACCATACTGAGCTTGGGAGGAAGGGGAAGTCCTGAATGAGGTTATAAAGTAAAAGAAAATATTTTGCAAAATGTTCCTTCTTTTAAAATGTTATGTTTTAGAAATATTTTAAGTGTTGTAACATTGCAGGAATTACCCCAATAGGACTGATTATTCCGCATTGTAAAATAAGAAAAAGTTTTGTGCTGAAGTGTGACCAGGAAGTCTAAAAATGAAGAGAGACAGATGAGAAAAGAAGATGCTTCTAATGGACTAAGGAGGTGCTTTCTTAAAGTGTTTGTGTGTACTTCAGAAAGAGGTGCACGTTTTGGAAGGCACAGAGGCCCAACTTTTACAGAAGAAAAGATTTCATGAAAATAGTGATATTACATTAAAAGAAATATTCGTATCCTCTGCCACTTTATTTCAACTTCTATTGCCCTAAGAAAGAGCCTATTTGAAGGCGGGAACAAGGAGTGCCGGCAGCAGTCTCCTCCCTCCACCTTCTTCCTCATTCTCTCCTGAGCCTGCTGAGCCCTTTGCTCCCCTGGCGACTGCCTGGACAGGCAGCAAGGAGTTGTCTCCCAGTGCGTTTTGCCCTCCTAGCTGCCAACTCTGGCTGCTAAAGCGGCTGCCACCTGCTACAGTCTGTTACATAGCCTCGGGAAGAGGAAAGAGACCTCGGACCTTCCAGATTGCTTTCTCTAGCAAGAAACTGTCACAGGTAAGAAATGTCATTCTTCTTTATTTGGAAAGTCAGCCATGGCAATTAGAGGTAAATAAGCTAGAAAAACAATTGAGAGGAATATAAACCATCTAGCATCACTACGATGAGCAATCAGTATCAACATAAGAAATATAAGCAAAGTCAGAGTAAATTTTTTTCTTTTATCAAATATGGGAGAGGATCACTTTAGAGGAGAGGTTCTCAAACTTTTTGCTCTCATGATCCCTTTACACTAAGCACATCACATGTTAGCATAAGTAACATTTTTAATTAAAGATAACTATGTACTTTTTTAACAACAACAACAAAAAAGCATAAAGAGTGACACTTTTTTATTTTTACAAGTATTTTAACTGGTTTAATAGAAGCCATATAGAGCCGCTGGATTCTCACTTGCTTTGCATTCAGACTATTGCAATATTGCACAGAATGTAGCCTCTGGTAAACTCTGTTGTTCGCTCATGAGAGAATGAGTGAAAAAGACAAATTACATCTTAGAATTATTAGAAATAGCTTTCACTTTAGGAACTCCCTGAGAATCGCTGCTTTAGAATGGTAAAATAAATAGGCTTCTCTTTACAGGGAATCTCAAGACAGAATCAATTACATTAAAGGCAAACAAAAAATTTGCCCATGGGTAGTCATCTTGTGAAATCTGCCACACCTTTGGACTGGGCTACAATTGGATAATATAGCATTCCCTGGGTTAATTTTGTTTCACAGTTAAGGGAAAGGCTGAATAAATATCTCTGTTTGAAGTTGAATAACAAAAATTAGGACGCCCTAAATTTTAGGACACCTGAAATTCCTCTTTTTGCCTATATTCAGCTACTTTTGAGTTCTGTTAAATCTTCTTTCAGGCCAGGTCAGTAGCTCCTGCCCAGAATCTCAGGCAGGCCTGAGCCCCGGAATTTGAGACCAGCCAGGGCAACATAGTCTCTACAAACTAATTAAAAATTACCTGGGTGTGTTGGTGCATGCCTGTAGAACTACTCAGGATTCTGAGGATTGCTTGAGTCCAGGATACTCAAATCTGTGGTGAGTTCAGTCACTAAACAGAGTGAGACTTTCTCAAAAATAAAAATAAAAAAGTTCCTTCAAAGTAACTTTTATCTGCAATGTTTTCCTATTGCCTATGAGATTAAATTTACTCTTTTACCTGATTTCCAAAGCCCTCCAAGATCTAATCCCACTTTACCCTGTGTCCACTGCAAAACAGCAGGACTGTTCCAGTGCAATCCAGAAATCACAGGCTGGGGGCAGTGGCTCACACCTGTAATCCCAGCACTTTGGAAGGCCAAGGCAGATGGATTGCTTCAGCTCAGGAGTTCAAGACCAGCCTGGGCAACATGGCAAACACCCTGTCTCTACAAAAAAATAAAAAAATTAACCAGACTTGGTAGTATGTGCCTGTAGTCCCAACTAGAGGCAAGAGGATCACTTGAGCCCAGGAGGTCAAGGCTACAGTGAGCCATGTTCGCTGTGTCACTGCACTCCAGACTGGGTGACAGAGCAATACCACATCTCAAAAAAAAAAGAAAAGAAAAAAAATCACTCTATTCAGTTCACCTCCACCACAACGTTGTTTTGATTATCACATAAATGCTGGTCCATTTCCTTCCCTTCTCTATCTATTCAAATCTTTAAGCATTCTTTGAGATTCAATTCAATTCTCCTTTTCAAACTAAGCCGTTTAAACTACATCAGTTCCATTTTGATTTTTTGCTTTGAGTCTACAGACTCAAAACCAAAAACTTAAAAACTTATTTTTTAAGTTTTCTTCTACTGTCACCTCTTCCTCACTCACATACACGCATTCATAATAAGATGACAAAATGTTCAAGGACAAAATGATTTGTAGAACTGAAAAGTTAGGTTTTGATCTTGTTGCTGTTAAGATGACTACCTGCCTGATCTCAGGGAATTAGTTATGTAGCATGCTCCCTCATTTCCTCCTATACCTATTCAACAGGATTGGAATTCCACAGCAAGGATAAACATAATCATAGTTGCTTTTCAAGTTCAAGGCATTTTAACTTTTAATCTAGTAGTATGTTTTTTGTTGTTGTTGTTGTTTGAGACGGAGCCCTGCTCTGTCACCCAGGCTGGAATGCAGTGGCACAAACTCAGCTCACTGCAACCTCCGCCTCATGGATTCATTCAGTTATCCTGCCTCAGCGTCCCAAGTAGCTGGACCACAAGGCACATGCCACCATGCCTGGCTAATTTTTGTATTTTTAGTAAAGACAGGGTTTCACCATGTTGGCCAGGCTGGTCTCGAACACCTGACCTCAAGTGATCCAGCTGCCTTGGCCTCCCGAAATGCCGGGATTACAGGCGTAAGCCACCGTGCCCAGCCTAATAGTATGTTTTTAAACTCTTAGTGGCTTAACAATGCTGGTTGTATAATAAACATGCCATAAATATGTATTGTCTTAGAATTATGAAGAACTGGTTACTAAGCCGTTTGCCACATATCAGTGGTTCTCTCCTTACAGCTTTAACTGGAGTCTAGAATTTCAGGTTGGTAGAGCTGGAACAGACCTTAAAGATTGACTATCCAACTTCCTTGTCCAAATGAGAAAACTGAGACCCTTAAAATTAAGTGACTTGCCCCAGACAAAACTGGAACTCATGTGTCCTCATTTACATCATGAAATTCTACCATTCACTAGCCTCTGGCGAGTTGTCGAAGTATTGCATAACTAAAAATTTTTTTGTGTTTTAAAGAACAAATTGTCACTGCTTACTCCTGGGAGGATCTTTCTGAGGTGGTTTATAACTCTTAAAAAAAAAAAAAAAAGTCAATAGTCTGAGAACTTTAGATGAAATAGTCAAAGCATTTTTATCCAATGGATACTATAATTTTCATGGATTAGAGTTTAAGCAAAGAAACATGGATGAGAAAGGAAGAGGAAAATTGAGGAGAGGAAGAATGGGATTGAGAACACACCACTTGTAATCAGTCATAGCTGTATTGAGAACTAACAAGAAGAATTGTAAGAAAATAAGAATGAAGAATTCAAAATCAACACATGAAATAAAAAAGAAACTACTAGGAAAAAATAGAGAAGACATTAGAAAAAGTATTCTATTTTTAAAATTCTGTTTTCAGGCTTCCCTCCTGTTCTTCCTCCTTCTCATTCGTTTTCAGGTGGAGGGAAAGTTTAAGATAGAAAAGATATATATATTCTTCACATCCCTTTCTACACCATTGTCATGGCAACAAGGTTTATCATAGCAAACTTTTATTCATAGAACATTTATTGAGTTCTTACTGTGTGGTAAGCTCTTTCCAGGTGTTGAAGATTCAGGGGGAGAAAAAGACAACTCATTGTCTTAAAACTCAGATGGAAGCTGAACAGACCTATTTTTATTCAAAGTAATCTCCATTCAGGGTAGTAAGAGCTATTCAAGAAGCATGAACAGGTTTGAGTGAGGTGGGACTCTGAGGAGAGAATAATTAGCTAGGAATGAAAGAGCAGAGAAGTTTTCCTAGAGGAACTATTAAAGCTGGAAGTTATGGGTTGAGAGATGAGGCAGGGTTTGCAGGCAGGAAAAAAAAAAAAAGCAGGGGAAGGGGAAGTTCTGGCCTGGCAGAGAGAATAACTCTGGCAACAATGGAGGAGAGTCTGGAAGCAAGACAACCAAGTAGAAGAGTACTAATATAGAAGATGCCAGGGGTGATGAGGGCTTGATTTAAAACATTGCTGTTGGAGATGGAGAGGAGATACTAAATTCTGGAGACATTTCTGAGTTAGAATCTACAGTATTTATCAGACAAGGGAAAGATTAGACAAAGGAGTTAAGAATGACTCCCAGGTTTCAGTTTTGGGCAGGTAACTAGGACATGTTTTGAAAAGTAATTTATTAGATCTCTTACCGTTGGAACTATGTATCTGGAGCCAAATTAAAATTTGTGCATTGTATATAACTTTTCCCGCCACCAGTAACTACTACCCTAACTCTTTACTTGGTAGCCAGACTTCCTAAAAGAATAGTTTGTAGTCACTGTCCTTACTTTTCCCCCTCCCATTCTGTCCTAGATATTTGTCCACCTACCATCTGCTGCCTCCACTTTACCCAAACTGTTCTACAGTTACCCAAAACTTCCTAATTGCCAAATTCAATGAACAAGTTTAAGCTTATATGTAAATTAGAAGCTCTACAGTTTCTGATTTCCAGCAGCTCCTCCTGAAACCCTTTCTCTTTTGACTTCCGTGACACATCTCAGATTTACAAAACTGAACTAATTATTTTCCACTTGAGCTGTATTTTCATTCTTTTTTTCTTAATGAATGAGGTAACCACTCAACAAATTGCCCAAGCCAGAAACTACGAAGTCATCCTCAGTTCCTTCTTCTTCCATTTGACCCACAACAGATCAGCTGAAAAATCCTTCTGTTTAGTATCTCTTGAATTCACTACCTTAGTTTATAGCCTCATCAACTCTTAATTGTTAACATTGCTTCTGTAGTTGTTGTCTGAGCTCTGTCCAGTCTTGTTCAATCAGATCCATTATTTTGTTCTTGGTGGTGGTGGTGGTGGTGTTGACACAGAGTTTCGCTCTTGCTGCCGAGGTTGAAGTGCAATGGTGTGATCTCAGCTCACTGCAACAGCACCCTCCTGGGTTCCATCAATTCACCCTCCTGAGTAGCTGACACTACAGGTATGTGCCACCACACCCTGCTAATTTTGTATTTTTAGTAGAGACAGGGTTTCACCATGTTTGTCAGGCTAGTCTCAAACTCCTGACCTCAAGCGATCCACCCACCTCAGCCTCCCAAAGTGCTGGCATTACAGGCAGGAGCCACTGCTCACGGCCCACCCAGATCCATTCTTTATGTTGCTTCTAGAGTGAGCTTTTTAGAACACAAATTTGACCATATCTTTCTCCTATTTAAGTCAGCATTTTTTTTTTCAAGAAAAAACAGTTCAAACTCTTTAGCCTGCTTACACAAGGCCTTTGTAGTCTGACCCTTCTTTCCAAGCTTTCATCACACTATACTGCAAGTTGCATTTTATGTGAATTGAATTAGGCAAAAATATAAAAATTATAGTTTATGTGGGCAAAATGGAAATAATGTTAACTCTTCCAAACAGTTTATCTAGAACGACGTAATTTCCACGCTGGTAGGTCAAATGAGTTATAAACTGTTAACACTATTGCCACATGCAAGTGTCTCTTATACCTGGTAGAATTATCTGCTTCCATGTCAGCATTATGTAAATTAGACTTTAAATAACTCAGAAGTTCTTCAGACATACAGGTTATTATTGTGCTATTTTTTCACATAATTTTAAATAATTTTATGTATGATAATGTTATCCAAGTGCTAAGGGATGTATTGTTACTGTTGTGAAAAAAACAAAACACAAAAAAACTCCGAATAAATATGTTGAAACAAAGGTTACATGCAAGAAAACAATATTAAAAAGGCCAACGTACCACCATGACAGGCTGTGTGGAGACAGCGGGCTACAAAACACTAGTAATAATGCTGAGAAAGTTGAAAAAAAAAAGAAAGAATATGCTTTGGTTCTTGTAGATTTATGTACTCTAAGAATACCTCCTCTCATACCTTTACTTTTTTCCCAAAGAAAAGTTAACCTTGGCCAGGCACAGTGGCTCACGCCTGTAATCCCAACACTTTGGGAGGCCAAGGCAGGCAGATCGCCTGAGGTCAGGAGTTCGAGACCAGCCTGACCAATATAGAGAAACACCCCCCCTTATTACTGAAAAAATACAAAATTAGGCTGGGCGCGGTGACTCACCCCTGTAATCCCAGCACTTTGGGAGGCCGAAGCAGGCAGATCACCTGAGGTCAGGAGTTCAAGACCAGCCATGGAGAAACCCCGTCTCTACTAAAAATACAAAATTAGTTGGTTGTGGTGGCGCATGACTGTAATCCCAGCTACTCAGGAGGCTAAGGCAGGAGAATCACTTGAACCCGGGAGGCGGAGGTTGCAATGAGCTGAGATTACACCATTGCACTCCAGCCTGGGCAACAAGAATGAAAATGTCTCAAAAAAAAAAAAAAAAAAAGAAAGAAAAAGAACAGAAAAGTTAATTTTGAACTATGTGAGATCTTTAGAAATGCATTCTTTCTGTAAAATGTGACTGCATTTGCCTTATTTATGGTAAAAATGTCGAGGCCTCAAACAACCCATGTTCTCTCAGTCTCCCTGCTGCCTAGCCTTTGTTCACATTGCTGCTTCTTGGTGGAAGCTCTTCCCCTGGCCTTGAAAATGCCTGCTTCTCTTTCAAGGCAGCACAGTCATCACTTCTGTGGTAACCTTCTCCAGCACTATCAAACAGAAAGAATCTTGTAAATTCAGCTCTTACAGCATTCATTATATTATTTTGTAACTCTTTATAGATTCTTCTCTCCCACTAGACTCTGAGTCACTGGAGGGTAGGAGCTAACTACCCTCATTCATGTGTGGTTTGGTCAGCTACTGGCCACATTCCTGATGCATAGTTGATGCTCAAGCCTTAACTGGTGAATCAGCTCAAATATTGTCCTTCTCTAAATCCACTCACTCACTGACTATGTACTGAAAATAATAAACACCAGTAATTTAATCCAATTTCTGCCCATACTACTTGGTACATTTCAGGTGAATTACTTTAATAAATACGTGTGTATTACATAATATTAAAGTTTGTAGAGAAGATCATGCTAGTCATTATTTCACCAGCTGATAACTAATCAAAACATAGAGTCTCAGGTTAACAAATGTCTGCCTTCTCAGTTACTGTAGTCATTAACAAACACCTCCTGATGCTGATAACAGGGCTGTGTTCAGCAATGAAGCCATAAAGGTAAATAAAGAAAATGCCCTCATGGAGCTCAAAGCCTAATCATTATTGTTCTGATTTTTAATATTAAAGTTGGTTTGGGTTTTGGTAAAAAATGTTTAGACTTATCTCAGCGATCTTTTCATCCTTTGCTATATTATTTTTCTCTAAGAATCTTCCTTATCCCCTCCTTTAAAAAACTAGGTGATAATTCTAAATTATAAATTTAAATATTATAAATATTTTATAATATTTAATATTTATATTTAAATGTTTGATAAACATTTAAATTTTATAATAGTTAAACGTTTATTTAAATGTATTCATACATCAGTTTTTATTTTATTTAAATCTTTTGGCCAGGCATGGTGGCTCACGCCTATAATCCTAGAACTTTGGGAGGCCACGTCAGGCAAATCACTTGAACTCAGGAGTTCGAGACCAGCCTGGGCAACATGGTGAAACCCCATCTCTACCAAACGTGCTAAAACTTACTTGGGTGTGGTAGCACGCATCTGTAGTCCCAGCTACTTGGGAGGCTAAGATGAGAGAATTGCTCGAACCCAGGTGAGAGAAGTGGGGTGGATGTTGCAGTGAGCTGAGATCGCGCCACTGCACTCCAACCTGGGTGACAGAGTAAGACTCCATCTCAAAAAAAAAAAAAAGTTACTTAAATAAGATAAATTTAATAACCATTCACATTTAGATGAGCATAAGGAGCTAAATCTAGATAAAACTGTTAAATAAGGCCTGGGTACAGTGACTCATGCCTGTAATCTCAAGCACTTTGGGGGGTCAAGGAGAGAGGATCACTTGAGTCCAGGAGTTAAAGACTAGCCTGGACAACATAATGAGATCCCATCTCTATTAAAAAATAAAATAAACCTGTTAAATAGCCACCAGCTTACAAGTATTTGGGGTCAGCTTAATTTGCATTAAGTTTTTTCAACTGAGTTTTAATTTTCTGTTTATTCTACCATATTTGCTTGCTTTTAGATATGTTAGAAAGAATTTGAGTCAGTTCTCTACCTATGAGCACAGTTTTATGGCTACTTCTCTATGTGCCATTGACAACTGTGACTCACTCACCTTCCTTAGTGCCCCAACCATAACTGCCTTCAGGAACCCAAGGCACTGCTGAATTCTAGTGTAGGGACTTCCTAATCATTTTTGTGGCATGGACTTTCATGGGAAATATGAAGACTGTGGACTCCTTCTCAGAACAATGTTTTTACAGACATAAAATTAAATACTTAGCTGTATAAAGGAAACCTATTACATTAGAACAGAGTTATCAAAAATTTTTTACCTCCTTCAAGTTACGCTGTAAGGCTATAGTAACCAAAACAGCCTGGTACTGGTATAAAAACAGACACACATGTCAGTGGAACAGAATAGAGAACCCAGAAATAAAACCACATACTTAACAGCCAGCTGATTTTTGGTAAAGCTGACAGGAACATACAATGGGAAACGGACACCAGTTTCAATAAATGGTGCTGGGAAAATTGGATAGCTAGATGCAGAAGGAACGAAACTGGACCCATGTCTCTCACCATGTACAAAAATCCACTCAAGATGGATTAAAGACTTAAATGTAAGACCTGAAACTATAAAATAGAAAAAAAAAAAAAAAAACCTAGGGAAAACTCTTCTGGACATTGGTCTAGATGAAGAATTCATGGCCAGGCCCTGAAAAGCACAGGCAATAAAAACAAAAATAGACATATGGGACTTAATTAAACTAGAGAGCCTTTATACAGCAAAAGAAATAATCAACAGAGTAAATAGACAACCTGCAGAATGGGAGAAAATACTTGCAAACTGTACATCTGACAGGGGACTAATAGCTCAAATTTACAAGGAACTCAAACAGCTCAACAACAAAAAAACAAATAATCCTGTCAAAAAATGAGCTAAGGACACAAGTAGATATTTTTCAAAAGAAGACATACAAGTGGCCAACAAGCATGTGAAAAAATGCTTGTCATCACTAATCATCATAGAAATGCAAATTGAAACCACAATGAGATACTATCTTACACCAATCAGAATGGCTGTTATTACAAAAAATAACATGTTGTTGAGGATGCAGAGAAAAGGGACCACTTATGCACTCTTGGTGGAATGTAAATTTATAAAACCTCTCTGGAAAATAGTATGGAGATTTCTCAAATAACTGAAAATAGAACTACCCTTTGATCTAGCAATCCCACTACTGCATATCTACCCAGAGGGAATCATTATATCAAAAAGATACCTGCATTTGTATGTTTATTTACAGCACTATTCACAATAGCAAAGATATAGAATCAACCTAAGTGTTCATCAACTGATGGTTGGATAAAGAAAATATGATGTGTGTGTATGCATATATGCAATGGAATATTATTCAGCCATAAGAAAGAATGAAATCATCTCTTGCAGCAACATGGATGGACCTGGAGGCCATTATCTTAAGTGAAACAACTCAGACACAGAAAGGGAAATACCTCATGTTCTCACTTATGGGTGGGAGCTAAGTAGTGTGGATCCATAGACAGAGTACAGAATGATAAACAGTAGAGACTCAAAAGGTGGGGGAAGTGAGAGGGAGGTGGATGAGAAATTGCTTATTGTATACAAAGTATGTTATTCCAGTGATTGATACAGTAAAAGCCCTAACTTCACCACTATTCTATATGTCCATGAAACAAAATTATCCTTGTACCCCATAAATTTATACAAGTAAAATAAAAATACAAAAAAACTTGATATGTAAACTTGTCATAATAAGTACAAAGCTGAAAGTAACATGTCTGATAACATGGTTTTAACATTTACTTCTCTGTCAAACACTTCAGTTCACTGAAAGAAAACAGCTTATGATACATCTTCAAGAAAGCATGTTTACATTTGCCTTTTAAACTGGATATGAAACTCATTTAATAAAAAACAATGCAGAAAAGAAAAAATAAATTGTAAATTTAAATATTAATGTTTAATAAGATTTTATTTTATTTAAACTTATTAAATAAAATAAATTTAATAACCATCCACATTTGGATGTGTATAAGGAACTAAGTCTAGACAAAACTGTTATATAACACCAACTAACAAGTATTTTGGGATTAGCTTAATTCAGATTAATTTTTTTTAAACTGAGTTTTAAATTCCTGCTTACTCTACCATACGCTGGGCCTCATATTATGCTAGAAAAATTTTGAGCACAGATTTATGAATACTCTCCTGCATACCATTTAATTTAAACAAATTTCGATGCAGCATATATGTGCCTTTTTACCAACACATTAAATAATAAGATCTACTATGAGAACTAAACTTTTGTAATTTCAAAGTAGTAATGAGTTTAAACCATTTTCAAGATCTCTGCAATAATCGTAGCACAATAGAAAATAGGTATTTCTATTAATGACAGAGTCACACGTACTACTAATAATACTGTGGTTTGTTTCCTGCAACTAATCATGGAAGGAATGCTAAATTTCAGAAGTTGGTGAAAATACATGTGTATTTTTTCCCCATCCAAGTTCACAGATTGCTCACGCTGAGAACTCCTATTCCATAACAAAATTCTGGAAACCTGCACGCCATATTGAAAGAGGGGCAGAAAGGAAGAACAAATAGGTTTTAAAATTTTTTCAAATCCTGTATCCCTTGATTTTACAGCAAGATTGTGTTTATGTATTACTTGTGTTAAAAACATAGTATAATCTAGACTCCAGATCAAAAACCACTGCTGCTCTGGGAGAAAGGGCCATCAAATGCCAGAGCCCTGCAGCCTTCTCCCACCCTGCCTGTACCCTCAGATGGAAGCACTTTTTTAATCATTGTTTCACCTTTAGCACTTTGACAATGAAGTCACAAACCTTCAGCCTCTCACCCGTAGGAACCCACTGTTGTAAGAGAAGGATGAAGCCAGTCCTTCCTAAAGGGCAGGATTAGATGTGTTTCTGGCATCCTCAGATGAAGCTATATTTATATTGAGTAATATATTTATATTTCTCAAGGAATACTAGAATAATGATTCAGTTCAGTAGTGGGCCATTTATCTACCCTATATAATATTGTTTAATGAGAAAATGCTTTCTGTATTCCGAATATCTGATGATTTGTAAGAGAACATTTAAACATAGGTATTCATAAGCTGAAACTTCTGGCATTTATTAAATGTCAAGATTGTTCATCAGTATACTAGGTGATTAACTGACCACTGTACTTGAAGGTAGTATAAAGTAGTAGTAAAATGTACAATCATTGTCTCTTAACAGATGGCTCTTTGCTTTCATTAGGAATAAAGATGGCTGCTGAACCAGCAGAAGACAATTGCATCAATTTTGTGGCAATGAAATTTATTGACAGTACACTTTACTTTATAGGTAAGGCTAATGCCATAGAACAAATACCAAGTTCAGATAAATCTATTTAACTAGAAAAGATGTTGTGAGGTGAACTGTTAAGTGATTCTTTTTGTCACCAAATTTTATTGTAATATTAATGGCTCTTAAAAAAATAGTGGACCTCTAGAAATTAACCATAACATGTCCAAGGTCTCAGCACTTTGTCACACCACAAGTCCTGGCACTTTAATTAGCAGTAACTCACTCTCCAGGTGGCAGTAAGTGCACATCATGAAAATCCCAGTTTTCATGGGAAAATCCCAGTACAAAACTGGGTGCATGCAGGAAATACAATTTCCCAAAGCAAATTGGCAAATTATGTAAGAGATTCTCTAAATTTAGAGTTCTATGAGTTACACCATTTTATGTAAATATGTTTGACAAGTAAAAATTGATTCTTTTTTTTTTTTTTTTCCTGTTGCCCAGGCTGGAGTGCAGTAGCCTGATCTATGCTCACTGCAACCTCCACCTCCTGAGTTCAAGCGATTCTCCTGCCTCAGCCTTCTGAGTAGCTGGGACTACAGGTGCATCCCACCACACCTGGCTAATTTTTTGTATTGTTAATAGAGACAGCATTTTGCCATGTTGGCCAGGCTGGTCTTGAACTCCTGACCTCAGATGATCCTCCTGCCTCGGCCTCCCAAAGTGCTGGGATTATAGGCATGAACCACCACACATGGCCTAAAAATTGCTTCTTATGATTAATATTCTGTGAACAATACGGCTTCATTTGAAAGTTTGCCTTCATTTGAAACCATCATTTAAAAGCTTGGGCAACAAAGTGAGACCCCATCTCTACAAAAAATTGAAAAAAGTTACCTGTGGACACCTCCTACCTTCTTCAGAGGCTGAAGCAGGAAAATCACTTGAGCCTAGGAATTCGAGCCTGCACTGAGCTATGATCCCACCCCTACACTCCAGCCTGCATGACAGTAGACCCTGTCAAAAAAAAAAACCTTCAGAAAAAATTCTTAGGTGACTTTTCTTAGATGACTTTCCATTTAAGCAATAAATTCAAAAGTAAAATCTCTCATTTTATAAAATTTATTTTTAGTTACATATTGAAATTTTTAAACCCTGGGTTTAAGTTTTATGTCTAAATTACCTGAGAACACACTAAGTCTAATAAACTTCATTTTATGGGCCTTTTGGATGGTTATATAATATTCTGATGAAAGCCAAGACAGACTGTTACCATAAAAATAGGAGTTTGAGAAAGAGGAGTAGCAAAAGTAAAAACTAGAATGAGATGAAATTCTGAGTCAAAATACAAAATTTTACATATTCTGTTTCTCTTTTTTTCCCCCTTTTAGCTGAAGATGATGGTAAAGTATAAATGAATTTATTTTTCTTTGCAAACTAAGTATCTGCTTTAGACACATCTATATCAACATTGTCAGCTGAGGAAAAAAATGGTTCACGTGATAGCCATCTATTTGGAATGTGGACTCAGTAGCACAGCTTTGGAATGAAGATGGTCATAAGAGATACAAAGAAGAACCTCTAGCAAAAGATGCTTCTCTACGCCTTAAAACATTCTCCAGCTCTTAGAACATACAAAATAGACTTTGCCTGTTTCATAGGTCCTAAGATTAGCAGGGAGTCATGGATTCTGTTGCCGGGATGGAGGCATTGCATAGGAAAAGGGGATTGAAGCATTAGAATTGCCCAAAATCAATAACACCTCATCTCAGAAATGCTTTGGGAAGAAGCCTGCGAGGCTCCTGGATTGATGGCGATGGGAGAGCAGAAAATTCTGGAAGTAGAGGAGATAGGAATGGGTGGGGCAAGAAGACCACATTCAAAGGCCAAGATCTGAAAGAAACTATGGCATTTATGATGAATTCATGGTAATTCAGCATGGAAGTAGAGTAGGAGTAGGAGAATAATGAGAGAAGCTAGAGTGATAAACAGGGTGTAGAGCAAGACATTCTCTTGCTCCAAGATGTGAAATTTGGACTTTATCTTGGAGATACTAGGGTTAATTAAGCACAATATGTATTAGCTAGGGTAAAGATTAGTTTGTTGTAACAAAGACATCATCAGCTACACAGTAGCTGAATAAGACAGATAATTTTTTCTCAAAGAAAGTCTAAGTAGGCAGCTCAGAAGTAGTATGGCTGGAAGCAATCTGATGATATTGGGACCCCAACTTTCTTCAGTCTTGTTACCCATCATCCCCCAGTTGTTGATCTCATACACATAGTTGAAAATCATCATACTTCCTGGGTTCATATCCCAGTTATCAAGAAAGGGTCAAGATAACAGAAGTCAGGCTCATTCCTTTCAAAGACTCTAATTGGAAGTTATATACTTCAATTCCCCTCATATTCCATTGACTGGAATCTAATCACATGACCACACCAAGTGCAAGGAAATCTGGAAAATACAATCTTTATTCCAGGTAGCCATATGACTGTTTAAAATTCAGAAATAATATATTTTTTTAAATATCATTCTGGCTTTGGTATAAAGAATTAATGGTGTGGGGTGAGGAGGACAAAATTAAAGGTTGAGAGGCTATTTTAGTTCTTACAAGAAATGATGGTATCATAAATTAAGGTAGACATAATGGAGTGCTGATGAGGAGCTGTGAATGGATTTTAGAAACACTTGAGAGAATCAGTAGGACATGATTTAAGGTTAGATTTGGAAAGGAGAAGAAAGTAGAAAAGATGATGCCTACATTTTTCACTTGGGCAATTTGTACCATTCAATGAAATAGGAAACACAGGAGGAAGAGCAGGTTTTGGTGTATACAAAGAGGAGGATAGATGACACATTTAGTTTTGGATCTGAGATATCTGTGGAACATCCTAGTGGAGATGTCCAATAAACTCTTCTACATGTGGTTCTGAGCTCAGAACAAAGAATTGGGCTGGAGATAGAGATATCGAAGGCTTATGCATAGAAATGGCATCTGAATCTATAGAAATAAAAAGACAAATCAGAGGAAATGTGTAGAGTGAGAGAGTAAAAGCCAAGTACTAAACTGAGAGGAATACCTACATTTAAAGGATGCAGTAGAAAGAGAAGCTAATAAAGAACAGAGAGCAGACTAACCAAAAAGGAAGAAGAAAAACCAAGAGAATTCCCAGGAGAACTCTCCTGACTCCCAGGAGAGCATTTTAAGATTGAGGGGATAGGAGTTGTGTTGAATTTTGCAGCCTTGAGAATCAAGAGCCAGAACACAGCTTTTAGATTCAGCAACAAGGAGTTTGGTGATCTCAGTGAAAGCAGCTTGATGGCGAAATGGAGGCAGAGGCAGATTGCAATGAGTGAAACAGTGAATGGAAAGTGAAGAAAGGGTACAGACAATTCTTGCTAAAAGCTTGGCTGTTAAAAGGAGGAGAGAAACAAGACTAGCTGCAAAGTGAGATTGGATTGATGGAGCAGTTTTAAATCTCAAAACAAAGAGCTTTGTGCTTTTTTGATTATGAAAATAATGTGTTCATTTTATAACTAATTCAGGCAATGAAAAAAGATAATAATATGAAAGATAAAAATATAAAAACCACCCAGAAATAATCATAGCTACCATTTTGATGCAATATTTCAATATTTCTACACTTCTTTATATATATATATATATATATATATATATATATATATATGAAATGCTTGTATTTTTATTAAAAGGGATTGTACTATACCTAAGCTGCTTTTTCTAGTTAGTGATATATGTGGACATCTCTCCATGGCAACAAGTAATTGCAGTTATATTAAGTTCATGATATTTCACAATAAGGGCATATCTTTGCCCTTTTTATTTAATCAATTCCTAATTGGTGAATGTTTGTTTCTAGTTTATTGTTATTAACAATGTTCCCATAAGCATTCCTGCACAAAAATGTTCACACATTTGTGTGACTTTTTCTTTAGGATAAAACCCAGGAGGTAGAATTGCTGGGTTGATAGAAGAGAAAGGATGATTGGCAAATCAAAGCTTCAGTAGAGGGTACATGCCGAGCACAAATGGGATCAACCTTAGATACCAGCAATGGCACCTTCGCATTTCCCCTTGGGACAAGAGAGAGAGGAAATAACTGGTACTGCCAGAGTTAAATTTGTACATGGAGTAGCAGGAAATCATTTGCTGAAAATGAAAACAGAGATGATGGTGTAGAGGTCCTGAAGAGAGCAAACAAAATTTGAAATTGTGGCTATCAACTGTGGAAGAGAGTGCTGAACTGGAAAACAAAAGAAGTATTGACAATTGATATGCTTGTAACAGCACCGATTCGAACACTTGTGCCATTGTTCACCAGCAGCACTCAGCAGCCAAGTTTGGAGTTTTGTAGCAGGAAGACAAATAAGTTAGGGATTTAATATCCTGGCAAAATGGTAGACAAAATGAACTCTGAGGTCCAGCTGCACAGGGAAGAAAGGGAAGACAGGAAGAGGTTAGAGAGGAAATACAAGAGTCAGAAGACTGGAAGATGTTGTGAAACTTAAGAACACATAGAGTTGGAGTAAAAGTGTAAGAAAACTAAAAGGGTAAGAGACTGGTCGGAAAGTAGGATGTTTGAAGTTAACACTTCAGCGGCAGATAGTTCTGAATGGTAACAAGAAATTGAGTGTGCCTTTGACAGTAGGTTAAAAAACAATAGGCAACTTTATTGTAGCTACTTCTGGAACAGAAGATTGTCGTTAATAGTTTTAGAAAACTAAAATATATAGCATACTTATTTGTCAATTAACAAAGAAAGTTTGTATTTTTTTAATGAGATTTCATGTTTGTTGTAGAAAACCTGGAATCAGATTACTTTGGCAAGCTTGAATCTAAATTATCAATCATAAGAAATTTGAATGACCAAGTTCTCTTCATTGACCAAGGAAATCGGCCCCTATTTGAAGATATGACTGATTCTGACTGTAGAGGTATTTTTTTTAATTTGCAAAGGTAGAAATGACTAGCTACTTCTTCCCATTCTGTTTTACTGTTTACATTTTTCCATGCTAGTCCCAATCCTTAGATGAAAAGTCACAGGAGTAACAATAATTTCACTTACAAGAAACTTTATGAGGCATCCATGTTTTTTAGTTGGGGTAAAAAAAATGGATACAATAAGACATTGCTAGGGGTCATGCCTCTCTGAGCCTGCCTTTGAATCACCAATCCCTTTATTGTGATTGCACTCACTGTTTAAAACCTCTATAGTTGGATGCTTAATCCCTGCTTGTTACAGCTGAAAATGCTGATAGTTTTAAAAATATTAAAAATAAATACACACGCATTTCAAATGAGTCTGTCTTCCCCCAGAAATTTAGAGTACAGTAGAAAATCCTAGCTACCTGGGAGGCTCATGCAGGAGGATTGCTTGAGGCCAGGACTTTGAGACTGTCGTACACGATGATCGTGCCTGTGAATAGCCACTGCACTCTAGCCTGGGTGATATAGAGACCTTGTCTGTAAAATAAAAAATAAAATAAAATAAAAAAACTTAAAAAAAAAAAGAAAATGATCAAGTGTACTGTGCCTTCCAAAATATGAATTCCAAATATCAAAGTTAGGGTGAGTTGACGCAGTGAATATGCGTTCTTTAAAAATACTGAATACTTACCTTAACATGTATTTTAAATATTTTATTTAGCATTTACAAGTTAAAAACAATCTTTTATAATTCATATCTTTAAAATACTCAAAAAAGTTGCAGCATGTATGTTGTAACACACATTAAACTGCGGGCTTGCTTGTTTGTTTGAGACGCAGTTTCACTCTGTCACCCAGGCTGAAGTACACTGCAGTGGTGCGGTCTCGGCTCACTACAACCTCCGCTCCCAGGTTCAATCAATTCTCATGCCTCAGCCTCCCACCCTCAGTAGCTGGGACTACAGGCATGCACCACATACACCCAGCTAATTTTTGTATTTTTAGTAGAGTTGGGGTTTCACCATGTTGGCCAGGCTGGTCTCAAACCCCTGACCTCAAGTGATCTGCCTGCCTCGGCCTCCCAAACAAACAGACAACCCCACAGTTTAATATGTGTTACAACGCACATGCTGCAACTCTTTCGAGTATTTTAATGATAGGGATTCTAAAAGGTTGTTTTTAACTTTTCAATGCTGGGATTACAGGTACGAGCCACTGTGCCAGGCCTGAACTGTGTTTTAAAAAATGTCCGACCAGCTGTACATAGTCTCCTGCAGACTGGCCAAGTCTCAAAGTGGGAACAGGTGTATTAAGGACTATCCTTTGGTTAAATTTCCACAAATGTTCCTGTGCAAAAATTCTTCTAATTAGAGTTCTCATTTATCGTATTTATTTCAGATAATGCACCCCGGACCATATTTATTATAAATATGTATAAAGATAGCCAGCCTAGAGGTATGGCTGTAGCCATCTCTGTGAAGTGTGAGAAAATTTCAACTCTCTCCTGTGAGAACAGAATTATTTCCTTTAAGGTAAGACTGAGCCTTACTTTGTTTTCAATCATGTTAATATAATTAATATAATTAGAAATATAACATTATTTCTAATGTTAATATAAATAATATAATTAGAAAACTCAAATATCCTCAGACCAACCTTTTGCCTAGAACAGAAATAACAAGAAGCAGAGAACCATTAAAATGAATACTTACTAAAAAGTATCAAACTCTTTACCTATCGTGATAACAATGGTTTTTCTGAGCCTGTCACAGGGAGGAGGAGATACAATACTTGTTTTATGACCTGCATCTCCTGAATAATCAGTCTTTATACAAATAATAATATAGAATACATATGTGAGTTATACATTTAAGAATAACATGTGACTTTCCAGAATGAGTTCTGCTATGAAGATTGAAGCTAATTATCCTTCTATATTTCTACTCCTTTGGAAATCATAATACTATTTTAATCTGTAGTTGTTTTGTTCCTGATCCTTAGTCTAAGTCTCAAACACAAGCTTCAGCTTCCAGTTGATGTATGTTATTTTTAATGTTAATCTAATTGAATAAAATTTATGAGATCAGCTGTAAAAGCAATGCTATAATAATCTGAAAGCCAGGTATAAAGTATTTCTGGCCTCTACTTTTTCTCTATTATTCTCTATTATTTTTCTCTATTTCCTCCATTATTGTTAGATAAACCACAATTAACTATAGCTACAGACTGAGCTAGAAAACTTTCCTCCCAGTAAGAGTAGCCAGGGATGCTTAGAAATTGGCAATGCTTCAGAGGAGAATTCCATGTCATGAAGACTCTTTTTGAGTGGAGATTTGCCAGTAAATAACTGCTTTCATGCCCACCTAGTCCCCACTAAAAGACAGTTAGGATATGACCTTAGTGAAGGTACCAAGGGGCAATTTGGGAGGGAGAAAAAAGCCACTCCAAAATATAATCCAAGTAAGAACAGTGCATATGCAACAGATACGGCACCCAGACAAATCCCTCAGCTATCTCCTTCCAACCAGAGTACCACCCCTTCAGGTGACAATTTGGAGTCCCCATTCTAGACCTGATAGTCAGGCAGCTTAGTTATCAAAATGGCATAAGACGCCTGGGATGGAAGGGTAGGGTGCAAGGGGTTAAGCATGCTGTTACTGAGCAACATAATTAGAAGGGAAGGAGATGGCCAAGCTCAAACTATGTGGGATAGAGGAAAACTCAGCTGCAGAGGCAGATTCAGAAACTGGGATAAGTCCGAACCTATAGGTGGATTCTTGTTGGGGGAGACTGGTGACAAGGTTAAGAAGATGGAAATAATGCTTGGCACTTAGTAGGAACTAGGCAAATCCATATTTGGGGGAGCCTGAAGCTTATACAATTTTGATGGTCCTTTTAAAGAAAAAGAACGTGGCTGGGCATGGTGGCTCATGCCTGTAATCCCAGCGCTTTGGGAGGCCAAGGTGGGCAGATCACCTGAATTCAGGAGTTCAAGACCAGCCTGACCAACATGGAGAAACCCCATCTCTACTAAAAATACAAAATGAGCTGGGCGTGGTGGCACATGCCTGTAATTCCAGGTGCTCGGGAGGCTGAGGCAGGAGAATCTTTTGAACCTGGGAGGCATAGGTTGCGGTGAGCCGAGATCGTGCCATTGCACTCCAGTCTGGGCAACAAAAGCGAAACTTGGTCTCAAAAAAAAAAGAATGTAAAATTACCAAAGGCGTAAGCTTAATAATTTAATTCAACTTTTAAAAAGGGTGGGTGAGGGGTGGCTTGAAGAGATCTGTGCAAATGAGGGAATCTGACATTGAAGCTTCATCAGCATCATAGCAAATGTGCTTCTGGAAGGAACTCAGTAAATATTGGAGGGAGGGAGAGAGCGAGGGGTGGACTAGGACCAGTTTTAGCCCTTGTCTTTAATCTCTTTTCCTGCCACTAGTAAGGATCTTAGCAGTGGTTATAAAAGTGGCCTAGGTTCTAGATAATAAGATACAACAGGCCAGGCACAGTGGCTCATGCCTATAATCCTAGCACTTTGGGAGGGCAAGGCGAATGTCTCACTTGAGATCAGGAGTTCAAGACCAGCCTGGCCAACATGATGATACCTCGTCACCACTAAAAAAAAAAAAAAAAAAACAAAAATTAGCCAGGCATGGTGGCACGCACCTGTAATCCCAGCTACTCGGGAGCCTGAGGCAGGAGAATCGCTTGAACTCAGGAGGCGTAGGCTGCAGTGAACCGAGATCGCACCACTGCACTCCAGCCTGGGCGACAGAATGAGACTTTGTCTCAAAAAAAAAAAAGATAAAAAGATACAACTGGCTGCCCTAATGTGCTCACCTTTCACTGTTGATTACTAGCTATAAAGTCCTATAAAGTTCTTTGGTCAAGAACCTTGACAACACAAAGAGGGATTTGCTTTGAGAGGTTACTGTCAGTGTCTGTTTCATATATATACATATATATGTATATATGTATCTATATCCAGGCTTGGTCAGGGTTCCCTCAGACTTTCCAGTGCACTTGGGAGATCTTAGGTCAATATCAACTTTCCCTGGATTCAGATTCAACCCCTTGTGAAGTAAAAAAAAAAAAAAAAAAAAAAAAAATCCTTTGCCCCTTGGAGCACTCAAGTTTCACCAGGTAGGGCTTTCCAAGTTGGGGGTTCTCCAAGGTCATTGGGATTGCTTTCACATCGATTTGCTATGTACCTTCCCTATGATGGCTGGGAGTGGTCAACGTCAAAACTAGGAAAGCTACTGCCCAAGGATGTCCTTACCTGTATTCTGAAATGTGCAATAACTGTGATTAAAGAGATCGCCTGTTCTACCTATCCACACTCTCACTTCTCAGTTTCAACTGTAACTTTCTTTTTTATTTTATTTTATTTTATTTTATTTTATTTATTTATTTATTTATTTGAGACAGAATCTCGCTCTGTCGCCCAGGCTAGAGTGTAGTGGCACGATCTCGGCTCACTGCAAGCTCTGCCTCCTGGGTTCACGCCATTCTCCCACCTCAGCCTCCCGAGTATTGGGACTACAGGCACCCACCACCACGCCCAGCTAATTTTTTGTATTTTTCGTAGAGACGGGGTTTCACTGTGTTAGCCAGGATGGTCTCGATCTCCTGACCTCGTGATCTGCCCATCTTGGTCTCCCAAAGTGCTGAGATTACAGGCGTGAGCCATCGCGCCTGGCTCAACTGTAACTTTCTATACTGGTTCATCTTCCTCTGTAATGTTACTAGAGCTTTTGAAGTTTTGGCTATGGATTATTTCTCACTTATACATTAGATTTCAGATTAGTTCCAAATTGATGCCCACAGCTTAGGGTCTCTTCCTAAATTGTGGTATATTGTAGACAGCTGCAGAAGTGGGTGCCAATAGGGAAACTAGTTTATACTTTCATCAACTTAGGACCCACACTTGTTGGTGAAGAACAAAGGTCAAGAGTTACGACTATCGATTCCACAACTGATTGAGAAGTTGGAGGTAACTCCCCAACCTCCACCGCCCAGAGTCTTTCAGGCATCTTAGGAGGATAAAGAAATGCTATTTTAATTCTGGAGGTTTCTCTATCAGTGCTTGGGATCATGGGAATCTGTGCTGCCATGAGGCCAAAATTAAATCCAAAACATATACTGGTTCCAGGATTAACATGGAAGAAACAGAGGTGGTGCCCACATGTTCTGATCCATCCTGCAAAATAGACATGCTGCACTAACAGGAAAAGTGCAGGCAGCACTACCAGTTGGAAAACCTGCAAGATTATAGTTTCAAGTAATCTAACCATTTCTCACAGGACCCTATTCTGTAACTGGAATCTGCATTTGGCCTTCTAGGGCAGAGCCCAGCCAAGTAGACCATATTCAGGACAGAAATTCAAGACTACCATGGAACTGGAGTACTTGGCAGGGAGACAGAGTCAAGGACTGCCAACTGAGCCAATACAGCAGGTTTATACAGGAACCCAGGGCCTAGCCCTACAACAAGTATTGGGTCTATTCACCATCAGTTTTAATTTCAGGCTCCACTGAAAGAGTAAGCTAAGATTCCTGGCACTTCCTGTCTCTCTCACAGTTGGCTCAGAAATGAGAACTGGCCAGGCTAGGCATGGTGGCTTACACCTGGAATCCCAGCACTTTGAGAGGCCAAAGTGGGAGGATCACTTGAGGCCAGGAGTTCAAGACCAGCCTAGGCAACAAAGTGAGATACCCCCGACCCCTTCTCTACAAAAATAAATTTTAAAAATGAGCCAAATGTGGTGGTGCGTACTTACAGTCCCAGCTACTCAGGAGGCTGAGGCAGGGGGATTGCTTGAGCCCAGGAGTTCAAGGCTGCAGTGAGCTATGATTTCACCACTGCACTTCAGGCTGGGCAACAGAGTGAGACCCTGTCTCAAAGCAAAAATAAAAGGAAACTAGAACTAGCCTAAATTTATGGGAGGAGGTCATCAACGTCTTTAGTTGTGAATGTTATAGAGGATAGGAACTGACATTAGCCCAAAAAGCTTCTGGTCTTTGCTGGAACTCTACTTCATCTTGAGCAAATGTGGACACCACTCAATGGGAGAGGAGAGAAGTAAGCTGTTTGATGGACAGGGGAAACTAGAGTCCTGGACCTGAATATGCATCCTATGACAGGGAGAACAGGAGATTCGGAGTTAAGAAGGAGAGGAGGTCAGTATTGCTGTTCAGAGATTTTTTTATGTAACTCTTGAGAAGCAAAACTACTTTTGTTCTGTTCAGTAACATACTTCAAAACAAACTTCATATATTCAAATTGTTCATGTCCTGAAATAATTAGGTAATGTTGTTTTTTTATCTATAGGAAATGAATCCTCCTGATAACATCAAGGATACGAAAAGTGACATCATATTCTTTCAGAGAAGTGTCCCAGGACATGATAATAAGATGCAATTTGAATCTTCATCATACGAAGGATACTTTCTAGCTTGTGAAAAAGAGAGAGACCTTTATAAACTCATTTTGAAAAAAAAGGATGAATTGGGGGATAGATCTATAATGTTCACTGTTCAAAACGAAGACTAGCTATTAAAATTTCATGCTGGGCGCGGTGGCTCACGCAAATATTTTATTGACTTAAATGAGGGAAAGTCTGTTAGCTTTTGTGAAAGTTCATTCATTTCTTAATGATGTTTTTCAAGACCAGTATTTATTTTATTTCACCATTACAATTATAGACTAATAATCTCATAATCTTTCTAAACATAAAAATTCAGACAGTTTACATTACAAAATTTGTATGTATGTATGTATGTATGTATATATTTAGATGGAGTTTTGCCCTTGTTGTCCAGGCTGGAGTGCAATGGCGCATTCATGGCTCACCATAACCTCTGCCTCCCGGGTTCAAGTGATTCTCCTGCCTTAGCCTCTTGAGTAGCTGGGATTGTGGGCATGGGTTACCACACCCAGCTATTTTTTTTGTATTTTTAGTAGAGACAAAGTTTCACCATGTTGGTCAGGCTGGTCTTGAACTCCTGACCTCTGGTGATCCACCCGCCTCAGCCTCCCGAGTAGCTGGGACTACAGGCGCCCGCCACTTCGCCCGGCTAGTTTTTTATATTTTTTAGTAGAGACGGGGTTTCACCGTGTTAGCCAGGATGGTCTCGATCTCCTGACCTCATGATCCGCCCGTCTCGGCCTCCCAAAGTGCTGGGATTACAGGCTTGAGCCACCGCGCCCGGCCTGAACTTTCTAATTTTTAAGAATATCATTAAAACCATCAAGATTTTTATAAGGAGGCCACTTCACTTAACAAATTTCTGAATTTCTTCCAAAGTCAGTATATTTTTAAAATTCAGTTTGATCCTGAATCCAGCAACATATAAAAGGGATTATATACTCTGGCCAACTGACATCTCAGGAATGCACAGATGGTTTAATATCCTAAAATCAATTAACATAACATACTATATTAATAAAGTATCAAAACCATATTCTCATCTTTTTTCACAATTCCACTATCATCTCAGTAAATGCAGAAAAAGCATTTGACAAAATCCAATTCATAATAAAAATTCTCAAACTTGAAAGAGAACATGATAAAGGCATCTATGAAAACCTACAGCTAATATCATACTTAATTATGAAAAACTGAATTATTTTACATGCTTGATAATGCAAGCATGTCAGCTCTTGCAACTTCTATTCAACATCATACTGGATGTACTAGCCGGGGCAACCATACAAGAAGTAAAAATAAAAGGCATCCAGATTAGAAAGGAAGTCTTTATTTGCAGATAACATGGTTCTTTATGCAGAAAACCCTCAGGAATATACACACATGTTAGAACTAATAAGTTCAGCAAGGTTGCAGGTTGCAATATCAATATGCAAAAATACACTGAAGGCTGGGCTCAGTGGAGATGGTCCATAACTTTTGTCTCAGCTACTTGGGAGGCTGAGGTAGGAGAATCACTTGAGGTCAGGAGTTTGAGGCTACAGTGCAATGTGGTCTTGCCTGTGAATAACCACTGCACTGGAGCCTGGGCAACAAAGTGAGACCCCATCTCAAAAAAAAAGGTATATGGTATTTCTGTATATGAGCAATGAACAATATGAAAACAAGGAAAATTCCATTCACAATGGTATTAAAAAGAATAAAATACAAATAAATTTAGCAAAAGAATTATAAAACTTGTACATTGAAAATTTCAAAGCATTCTGAGGGAAATTAAAGATGATCTAAATAATTGGAGAGACATTCCATGATCATTGGAAAACTCATTCAATATTGTTAAGATAACAATTCTCCCCAAATTGATGCATGCATTAAACTTAGTCTTCATCAAAATTCCAGCAGGGTTTTTGCAGAAATTGACAAGCTGTACCCAAAGTGTATATGGAATTGAAAAGACCCAGAATAGCAAATAATTTTTTAAAAACAAGCTTGGAAAACTTTTACTTCCTAATTTTAAAACTTACTATAAAGCTAAAGTTATCAAGACCATTTAGTACTAATACAAGATATAAATATATAGATCAAAGGAACAGATTTGAGAGTCCAGAAATAAACTCTAATATTTATGGTTAATTGAGTTTTGACAAAGGTGCCAAGTCGGTTTGATAGAGAAAATAAGGCCAGGCACAGTGGCTTATCCCTGTAATCCCCAGCACTTTGGGAGGCTGAGGCAGGTGGATCACTTGAGTTCAGGAGTTCAAGACCAGCCAGGCCAACATGGTGAAACCCCGTCTCTACTAAAAATACAAACATTAGCCAGGTGTAGTGGCATGCGCCTGTAATCCCAGCTACTCAGGAGGCTGGGGCAGGAGAATCTCTTAAACCTGGGAGGTGGAGGTTGCAGTGAGCCAAGATCATGCCACTGCACTCCAGCCTGGGCAACACAGCAAAACTCTGTGTCATAGATAGAGAAAATAGTATCTTTTCAACAAATGATAATGGGACAATTGGATATCTACATACAAAAAAAAAGATTAACTTAGACCCTTACTTTACACCTTATACAAAACTTCATTCAAAATGAACCAGAGACATTAATGTAAGAGCTGAAGCTATAAAAATTTAGAATAAAGCATATGAGAAAATGGTAAAACCTTGGGTTCAGCAAAGGCTTTTTAGATATGACCCAAGAAGCATGATCCATAAAAGAAAAATAATTAACAAATTTGACTTAACCAAAATTCATTATTTTGGGGTTGAGGAGGAACTGGGTGAAGGATACGTGGGACATCTCTCTACCATTCTTGCAATTTCCTGTGAACCCTTGATTATTTCCAAATAAAAAGGTATTCTTTTCTTTCTTTAGAGAGAGGACCTTACTCTGTCACCCAAGCTGGAGTGCAGTGGTGTGATTATAGCTCACTGCAGCCTTGAACTCCTGGGTTCAAGTGATCCTCCTGCCTCAGCCTCCCAAGTAGCTGAGACTAAAGGCACATGCCACCATAATTGGCTAATTTTTTTTGAATTGTAGAGAAGGGGGTCTTGCTATGTTGCACAGAGTGGAAAATAAAATGTATTTTAAGAAATAACATTTGCACTCAAAAGACACCATTAAGGTAATGAAAAGCAGCCAGGCAAGGTGGCTCATGCCTGTAATCCCAGCACTTTGGGAGGCCAAGGGGGGCGGATCATTTGAAGTCAGGAGTTGAAGATGAGCCTGGCCAACGTGGCAAAAACTAAAAACACAAAAACTAGCCAGGTGTGGTGGTGGGCACCTGTAATGCCAGCTACTCAGGAGGCTGAGGCAGGAGAATCACTTGAACCTGGAAGGCGGAGGTTGCAGTGAGCCAAGATTGTGCCAGTGCACTCCAGCCTGGGCGACAGAGGGAAAAAAAGAAGAAGAAGAAGAAAGAAGGAAAGAAAAGAAAGAAAGAAAAAGAGAAAAGAAAAAGAAAGAGAGAGAGAAGGAAGGAAGGAGAGAGAAAGAAAGGAAGAAGAAAGAAAGAAAAAGAAAGAAAGAGAAAGAAAGAAAAAGAAAAAGAAAGAAAAGAAAGAAAGAAAGAAAGAAAGAAAGAAAGAAAGAAAGAAAGAAGAAAGAAAGAAAGAAAAGAAAGAAAGAAAGAAAGAAAGAAAGAAAGAAAGAAAGAAAGAAAGAAAGAAAAAGAAAGGAAGGAAGGAAGGAAGGAAGGAGAAAGAAAAGAGAAGAAAGAGAGAAAGAAAGAAAAAGAAAAGAGGGGGAGGGAAGGGGGGAGGGGAGGGGAGGGGAGGGAAGGGAAGGGAAGGGAAGGGAAGGGAAGGGAGAGAAAAGCCACAGACAGGAGAAAGTATTTGCAAATCACATACATTGCAAAAAAACTTGTACCCAGAATATACAAAGAACTCTTTAAAAAGACTCAATTTTTAAATGAGCAAAAGATTTCAATAGACATTTGTCTTTTTTTGGGATTGCGTTCACATCAATTTGCTATGTACTTTCCCTATGATGGCTGGGAGTGGTCAACATGGAAACCAGGAAAGCTACTGCCCAAGGATGTCCTTACCTCTATTCTGAAAAGTGCAATAACTGTGATTGAAGAGATCGCCTATTCTACCTACCCACACTCTCACTTCTCAGTTTCAACTGTAACTTTCTTTTTTTTGCTTTTTTTTTTTTTTTTTTGAGACGGAGTCTCGCTCTGTCGCCCAGGCTGGAGTGCAGTGGCGCGATCTCGGCTCACCGCAAGCTCCGCCTCCCGGATTCACGCCATTCTCCGGCCTCAGCCTCCCGAGTATCTGGGACTACAGGCGCCCACCACTACTCCCGGCTAATTTTTTGTACCAGACGGGGTTTCACCGTGTTAGCCAGGGTGGTCTCGATCTCCTGACCTCATGGTCCACCCGCCTCGGCCTCCCAAAGTGCTGGGATTACAGGCGTAAGCCACCGCGCCCGGGGCCTCAACAGACATTTTTCAAAGAAGATATACAAATGGCAAATGAAAAGATGCTTCATATCGTCAGTCATTAAGGAAATGCAAATTTAAAACATAATGAGATACCATTTCACATCCGCCAGGAAGGCTCCCAAAGTGCTAGGATTACAAGTGTGAGCCACCACGCCTGGCCAGAAAACCATTTTTTAGTTGCTTGAAAGGTTAAGTATAATTTTTTACACAACTCAGCAATTCCATTCCTACGGATCTACTCCAGAGAAATAAAACATATGTGCACACAAACACTTGTGCGTTATTCATAATAACATACAAGTGTTGCTGCATTATTCATAATAGCCAAAAAGTGGAAACAGGCCAAATGTCCATCAACCGGTGAAGGGATAAACAAAATGTAGGAGATCCTTAATGGAAGACAAAGCCTAATAAAAAAAAGAGTAAAATACTTACATGAGCTATAACACGAATGAACTTCAAAATATTATGCTAAGTGAAAAAAGCCACGCATGAAAGGTTATATATTATATGATTCTACATATATGAAATGTCCAGAAAAGGCAAATCTACGGAGACAGGAAAATAGATTCATGTTTGCCTAGGGTTAACAGATATGAAGGAGCTTCATAAAAAGATATGATCTTATTGAAACGATGAAAAAAAAAAGTTTTAGACCTAGATATGGTGGGCCGGGCATGGTGACTCACACCTGTAATCCCAGCACTTTGGGAGGCCAAGGCGAACGTATCATGAGGTGAAGAGATCGAGACCATCCTGGCTAACACACTGAAACCCCATTTTTACTAAAAATACAAAAATTAACTGGGCGTGGTGGTGCGTGCCTGTAATCCCAGCTACTCGGGAGGCTGA